ATGATGGATTTTCTTTGTTCCTTTTTCAGAGAACATGAGTTATTAATGTCTGTCAGGACCTAAAGACAATTTACACCAAAATCTTAAAAAAGTGGATCTGGTGGAAATGACCAACTGGACTATTTTAAAGTCCAGTTATAGTCATACTGAGACAATAAATCCACTTTTGTAAACATCATGTAAACGTACTGACTGATTCATTTTATCAAAGAGACTCTAGCTGGAAAAAAGTTTATTTGCTGTCATCGAAACCAACAAGAAAAAAAAAACACATATCAGTTACGTCTTATGAGTAAAAGAAGAAGTCCTGTTCATGTTGATTTCATTATCTCCTACACGGGTAGCTCCTGTAGGATTTAACACCATTTCCCATAATCCCACCTTTGTCACTAAAGCGTTAATCTATTCTCTTCAGCGTGCGTGGTGACGTGGCGGCGCAGGTGGCTGCTGGAGATGAAGATCTTGCCGCAGTGCGAGCACCTGAACTGCTTGCAGTCCGTGTGCACGCTCATGTGGACCTTCAGGGATCCCGACTGGGCGAAGCGTTTGCCGCAGTGGACGCAGTTGTAGCGTTTCTCTCCCGTGTGCACCCTCTGGTGGCGTTTCAGGTTGCTGGGGTCGGAGAAGCGTTTTCCGCAGAGCATGCAGACGTACGGCTTCTCGCCCGTGTGGACCCTCATGTGGGTCTTCAGGTTCTTCAGGCAGGCCAGAGTTTTCCCGCAGTAGTTGCACACAAACGTTTTCCCCGCGCTGTCCTCCCCGCTGTTACTGGACACCCTGCTCGCGGCGTCCAGATGTCTCCACCGGTCCCGTCTGAGGAAAGCACTTTGCCTCTCTCTCGTCTCTTTTCTCGCAGGAAGCTGCAGCGCCATCTGCTGGTTGTTCTGTAAGCCTGCAGGCTGTCTGCACTCTGCCACCGGCGGGCTCAGCTCCCCGACGGTGAAAGAAACGCTGCCCGAATCGGACGCAGCTGAAACTCTCCCTCTGGTGTTCGACGCGTACGAGCAGCTGGGATCCTCTGGCAAAGGATTCTGGGTACTCATTGAGCCGTGCTGAAGCTGTGGCTCGAACATCAGACAGTCGAAGCTGCCGGTTTCTAAACTCTGGCTGGTGTTTGTCGTATTCTGGACGCACACTGAAGTGGAGCTGACTTCCTCGCTCGCCCAAGCTCGAGTAGAACCGCCACCTTCCTCCGTTACTTCCTGTTTAGTCAGCAGGGGCGGAGCTTCTGCGTCTGTCGTCTGTTCGTCAACAACAGGAATAAGATCTGCTGGAGAGAGAGAAAGAGAAATATCTTACCTTTCTTACATTTTCAGTATTCAGATAAAGAGCAGGTGTAGTGCGTACCTCTTGTCACATTAGTCTCAGAGACTCATCATGAATCATAAAAAAAAAACGTCCTTTAAAGCCTCGCTCACACTGTGAGATTTTCCCCCGATCGTATCAAAGTCGTGGTGGCACGTCAGCTCACACTGTACGACCTGATTGTCGGACACGTCCAGAGAGCTCACACTGTACGAGTGAAATTAGGACGGAGCGTTGACAGTTGTTAATAAAGTTTCATTTGAAAACCCCAACGGACGACGGCCGGTGAAAGAGAAGGAAGTGGAAGTTGTTGTAGGATTTAGGAAAGTTGATACAATCGTAGATATATGGAGACAAGTTTCAGAAAAGTGCTGCGCTGATGATCTGTACTGGAAAGTAAAAAAATAAAAGAAATGTTGCGTCCTGCCGCTGGTCGCCATGACTACAGTCCTCCCTTGTCTCTCATGATTATATTGTAGTCACACAACTTCTGCCGGACCCTTTCATGATCGTCAAGATTTTAAATTCTAAATATAAAACATGTTTGAAATAAATCGGGGCGTCCCCGACGATCGCCGGGCAGATCGGGGACGTTAAGATTGGATCTTTGGACGCTCACACTACGAGATAATCTGAACAGAGAATCGGGTCGAGCAGCCTCGAGTCGGGAGAGACCCTGAGACTGTCAGGAAGGAAGAATCAGAGCTCAACAACAGGGCCCTGGTAGTGCTGGGCGATATATCATGAAGCTCGATTCCATCGATATTTAATTAATGCTTGATATGGAAAAGGGAACATCCATTTTATTTTTTAAACCACTTCAAAGTTTTCTCGCGATATTTCGTTGCTCCGCGAGATTTCCGCGGCAGCGCTTGTTGCTCGGAGACGAAAGGGCGGAGGAGACTTCACTCCTGCTGCTGAGGAGCCTCGCTCTTATAAGCGACCAACACGGAGGAGAAAGAGAAAGATGAGAGCGAGGCCGAATTACTTCCAAAAAAAGGTTCATAACGCAGAGCTCAACATCACAAGTGTCCCACTGACCCGGATGAAGGATTGACAGTCCAGCTGATTGCAGGTTCAGCTGGAGGCTTCACTGCTGTCACTTCACTCGCTACACTCGAGTTGTTCACACTCAGATCTGAGAGCAGGTTTTCTCTGATAAAACACACGTTTGGTAAAACGGTTTTAAAACCATCAGATCCCGACAAAAGCCGAGTTTAAATCAGAATTCAAAGAGAAACAAATCACCAGAAGAGTGGAGAGTGACAGCAGGACGAAAACAGAGAAAAGTTTGATCCACAGTGACAGACAGCTGGAGGAGCTGGAACACGTTAAAGTTAAAGACTAGATCCTGCTAAAGATAAAAGTTATTCACAAACATGTTAGTCCTTAAGAGAGCTCCTAAAGTAAAGATGTAAGGATGAAGAGTTTCTCACAGAGAAGAAAGAAGGAGAGATTCCAGATCTATCACAGCCTCATATTAATATCACATTAAGTAGACTCTTACAGCATGGTGAATAAACATGAGCACATAAATATAAGAAAAATACACAATATGTTTATAATTAGAGCTCAATTAATTTAATAAAAGTTGTAATTAAATCTTGCATCAGAATGGTTCAAGAGTAAATTGGTGACTTTTATTTTTAGAATCTAAAGTAATGTTCCTGGATCAGTGATATTTTTTTTATACAGTGGAGATTCACTTTTATAGGCTACATTTATAAACTTTAATACGATAAATATCGAGTCATATCGACATTAGGCAAAAAAATATTGTGATATCAAATTTAGGCCATATCGCCCAGCACTAGGTCCTGGGTCTTGTAGTTTTTTGCTGATGGCTAGTTGTAGTTTAAACCAATAATAATAGAAAAAGCAGTTATAAATCTAGACGTGAAAATGAAAGATCATGTCTACATGTGGTTGTCGGTGTCCATCACTCAAACTGTACTCACTGTCCTGAGCAGAGCAGCCCCAGGTCTCATCGTCGTCCTCCACTTTGATGACCGCGGTCGTCGGTTTGGCCGTCTCACCTGCAGCCGGCTGTAACGGAGCGCACAGAGAGCGAACACGATAAGAGCGAGGATGGTAATAAGGTCAGGAACTAGGACGGGAGAGGAGAGCGTCTCGTACTCACCGTCCCCTGTGTGGCGCCCCGTCCGGAGGATGGATCGATGTCTTCACACCGCAGTGTCTGAGCAGGTGCTCTGCACAGCACCAGCTCACCTGGAGGACGTGATAACACCTTTAAAGATCACGCACCTTCAGACGCACTGAGGTCACTATTTCATGAACAACGGATTCGTTTATACTTTAACACAACACAAAATGCTGCAAGTCCTCCTATTTAAGAAGCTTTAACCAGATACGAGGGATACATCGGTTCAACATCTGTATCGGCCGATAGCGAGCGAGTGACAGCGACTAAATCAGCTTGATTCTATTTTTCATTGTATTGGAGTGTCCTAACTGCCTACAGCGACGCAGAACGCCGTTTTAACCCTGACGTCCCGTTTCTATTTTCCTCTGTCGCTCTCTAGCAGGGTCGAGGAAGGAGGAGGCTCTACGAGGCGCTGATACTCGTTAGCTTGTTTCACAAAGTGGGGAAAGTCCTGCATTAACAATATACACATACGTGATAGAAATGTTGAGCTGTGACTTGTTTTAACACCGGAGAAAAAACTTGATTATTGACAAGCCTCTGAGAAGAGCTCACCACACTTCAGTTTGTCCACCTTCAAAATAAAAGCACCACATGTCATACTGTTTGCAAAGGGGAGCTGAAATTATCCTAGCAGAGAAGTAAATATTTATGGGATGCAGAGCGGACAGCGATCGTGCACAATGCAACATGATATCTAACGCTTGCGTGTTGTTAGGAGACGGTGTTATTGTGAGAATATTTTATCCTTCATCAAATCAAAACTGATGAGTCATCAAAACATTCACCCCCCCCGTACAGTGTGTGTCCATCCAGACATGAGCTAATCACACCTATTTGTTTTTTGAACCAGGCTGTAAACATGTTCATCTCTGCTGTAAAAACAGGCTTTTTAGAATGGGTGTGTATGTGACTTCCTGTGCTTCTGCAGCCAGCCTCTAGTGGACACTCCAGGAACTGCAGGATTGTGCACCTTCAAAATAAAAGCACCACATGTCATAGTATTTGTAAAGGGGAGCTGAAGTTATCCTAGCAGAGAAGTAAATATTTATGGGTTCAGGGTGGACAGCGATCGTACACAATGCAACATGATATCTAACGTTTGACGTTATAAATCAAGATGAAACTAATAAATAACTTTAAATATCGGACTCAAAACTCTGCGGAACTGACACAGGACAAGTCGAATATTACCAGGAACGTAACACCAGAGTTTGGTTTAATATAAATCACACAAAAAATACTTTAATACGAGTTTATCAGCGGAGCATGACTCATCAGTAACTTACCTCTGACCGTGCTGAAGACTGCTGTGGCGGAGCACGCACACACACACATACACACACACGCACGCATTCACGCGCACGTGCATGCGCACACACACACACACACACACACACACACACACAAACTCCGGTCGATAAAAAAAACGCAAAACATATAAAATGAAAAATTTGTGTTTTGGTGAAATTCATAAGCTGTCTATATCAACCTGTTACATATAGCCTACACCCCCCCCCCCCCCCCCACA